GTGGTGGGGCGGGGGGGGGGGGGGGGGGGGGAGGCACACTGAAAAGTGGGTTAATACTGAGGAGGAGAGAGGGACTAAGTGGATGGGTAGTTAGATGAAAATTAGGTTAAATTTTAGACGAGGATTCAGCACAGATAGAGGACAGCCGGATAGTGTCTGGCTCTAGCTACATACATACTCTTGGAGGCACACTGAAAAGTGGGTTAATACTGAGGAGGAGAGAGGGACTAAGTGGATGGGTAGTTAGATGAAAATTAGGTTAAATTTTAGACGAGGATTCAGCACAGATAGAGGACAGCCGGATAGTGTCTGGCTCTAGCTACATACATACTCTTGGTTTGCAGCAGGTAGAAAAACATAGGAGAGACAACTCAAATACACACACATGCTAGAAAGAACACTGTCATTGCTATCGCTGCAGTCCAACATGTTGGTGTGCTACTGAGAAAGAAATACTATTATTTTATTTCCATATGTTTCATAGCCTGTATGTGCATTTAGCTGATATTTCAGAAATGTGACTCAAACCTATTATTATCTGTCACTCACTTAGTGCTGCTGGTCGCGTTGTTGTTCTTCTTCTTCCTTCGAAACATGTTGAGGATGCTGTTGCTCTGGCAAGGAGCCGCCTTCCCGTCGCCCACATGCATACGAACCACGTCTGAGGTCGTAAAGGCGCTGCGTACGTTGCGCTCGGGCTTGGAGATGATGATGTACATCTTGGGTGTGAACATGCAGCCCAGTGCTACAGTAACACTGAGACTGACAGAGAAGGAGGTGGTGATGATCTTGTAGTTGGAGCCGAAGTAGATGGGCACAAAAGCCAGCCAGATAATGCAGGTGGTGTACATGGTAAATGCAATGTACTTGGCTTCATTGAAGTTGGCAGGCACGTTGCGGGTCTTGAAGGCGTAGTAGGTGCAGCTCATGATGAGCAGGCCGTTGTAACCCAACGGAGCCACTACGCCCACGTTACTTGTGTAACAGATGAGGTACACCTCCCTGATGCTGGGGTAGCTCTTCACCGGATTGGGGGGTTCCAGCACAATCAGCGTAACCACCACGGCCAGCTGGAGACTAATCAGGATGAAGGCGATAACCACTTGGGCCCAGGCGCTCATGAAGCGGGGCTTGCGTGTGCAGATTTTCTTCTTGCTTCCAGCCAGGATGCGTGCAATGCGGTTGGTTTTGGTTGCCAGAGCGGAGTAGCACATGGCAGACGACAAGCCCACTAGAAGGCGCTGCAGATAGCAGGAGATCACAGTGGGACGTGCAATGAGAGTGAAGGGGCAGACGTAGCCAAGGCAGATACCTGCCAGGATGATGTAGCAAAGTTCACGACTGGAGGACTTCACCACTGGTGTGTCACGGTACTGCATGAAGACAAAGGTGACGAATAGTGTTACCAGGATGCCGAGGCAGGAGAACACCACTGCGATGATGGACTCCACGCTGCTCCACTCCAGGTATTTGAGTGGGAGAGGCTTACATTCTGGAATAAAACAAGCAGATAGGAAGTCAAAATGGATGGAAAATAAATGAAGAACAGGACAAAAACAAATACAGAATTTCAGGATTGTTGGGACTTCTGGAATGTTGTATCATTGTAATTAAGTTAAAATGGAATTATGGTGTAACCTTATTTTCCTGTACACCCGGAATACCTGTAATGTACTTGTGAAACGTTTAAATATATTTTTTCAATGTAAAATGTGTATTTTTTTAACAAATATTTTAAATGCGGACAGTATTATTATTTTTTTAATTAATAAGCATTGAATCAGTAATGGTACCACTGAAAAGTTTGGGGTTAGTACTTTTTTATGCATTCATTTATACAGCAAGGATGCATAAAATTGATCAAAAGGTCAATTAAAGACTTTCACATTGTTTAAAAATAAATTTTAATAAATGCTGTCCTTTTGAACTTTATACAGTTTCCACAAAAATATGAGCCTTAGTCGCACATCTGTTTTCAACTTTGATAATAATATTTAGCTTTGCCATCATAGGAACAAATTATGTTTTAAAATATATCAAAACAGGAAACAGTTATTTTAAATTGTAATAATACTTCACAATAATGCTGTATTTTTGTTCAAATAAATTCAGCCTTGGTCATAAGAGACGTCTTTCAAAAACATCTTCTTGACCTCAAACATTTCAACAGTGGAGTATGAATCGCATTTTTTAAATATTTTTTAAATAAAGGGGTCATATGATGCGATTTAATTTTTTCCTTTCTCTTTGGAGTGTTACAAGCTCTTGGTGCATAAAGAAGATCTGTAAATTTGCAAAGACTAAAGTCTCAAATACAAAGAAATATTCTTTATAAAAGTTCAGAGTCAACCACGCCTACCTAAAACGGCTCGTTCGAACACGCCCCCACATATCTACCTCACTATGTGGGAAGATTTGCATAACGCCGCCCAAATGTTCATGCAAAGAAAGAAGGCGTAACTTTTATTCTCACTGTAGTATTGTTGCCGCTGCCGCCATGTCCTGAAGACGCTGTGTGTTTCGTTGTGAAAGCGAAACTACTTTGTTTGGTCTTCCAAAAGAGGACGATATCCGCTTTGTCATGCCTGGAGCTGATCCGTGCTGGTCGCTGAGGGAATACATCAACTTAGTGCTGTGGATTGCCGGCACATTTTATGGAGGACTCTTTACTTAAGTGGATCGCCGGATCGGCTTTCTCCGTTTTCACCGCTCCTTCGCCGGGACCGCCGTTCTCGACCCCGCTGACTCGGCTCACTCTTCACGAAAAACACAGCGGCCTAGCGTTTGCGAAAGCCCCGGCTTCGCGTGAGCTAATGTACAGTATGTGGAAAATAATGTGTTTTTTTTACTTTAAACCGCATAAACACATTTCATTACACCAAATACACCAAATAATGTTCTTTTTAGCAGCATCATATGACCCCTTTAAATAAATGAATAGAAGAACGTCACATTATTGTCCCTTAAGCTTCATATGACCCACTTTTGTGTGCATTTCTTTCTATGCATTCTGAACACTCTCATTATTTATGACAGAGCCTTCTATACATCCTTAAAGGGTCTCTTTCTCTCATTCACTATGACAGAGCTTTTTCTCTATCTCAGATCAGTCTGTCTCTCTAGTAATCAGAATTCCCTGTTGCTGCTCAGGTTCCGTGGTGAAACCGTTGAGCCTGACACACGGCTGCTGGGTACTAATGGGATTCCAACCTCATCGTTATCCAGCTCTGCTCGCTGGATAAAAAGCTGTCAAAATAACGTGCGGCTCACAGCCCAGAGGACGAGTAAGTGTTGGATGTTGGGTAAGGAGGATGCAGAGGGCATGGAGAGGAGTGATAGGAGAGAAGCCAAAAGGAGATATGGGCTGAACAGAATCTAAAGCATAAATGTTGGTGGAATAGGGCAAATATTGCTTGAGCTATTCTCAATGAAATGGTAGTCTAAGTGTTAAAATGAAGAGATATTTTAATAGATGTGGTTAATTAGGAAGATGAATGAAATGTAAACAAAGTCTCTTACCTGCCAGTTCATCATCAGGCCACCAGCCCAGGTCACAAGCTCTGCACGTGAACTCATCCTGAACGTATTCATTATCCTTACATGTAGTGCAGATCCAGCAGCAACTCACTTCACCTTTACGGATCACCTACAATCAAGATATTTACGTTGATGCCAGCTATGGTAACACTTCACAATTCTACAAGTTTCATAAGTTAACATCAGTTAATTCATCTCACAACAACAAACACTGTAAAAAATGTATTTATATTAGTATACATAGAGAGTTACATTAATATATATATATATATATATATATAGGAATAATGAGAAAAATTCAACTTTGCAATTGTATTAAGCTGTTTGCCAATGCTTTGAAAAAGATTAAGTTAAAAATAAATTAAAAAACTATTGCAATAACTCATCAGTCTATCAATGTATAGACTGTAAATTACTTCTTATTGAGTTATTTTAGTACAATTGTTTTTTTGTTAAATTCTTAAAATGATACATTCCTTGAGATGTTAATTTACATTCATTAATAACCATTAGGGGGTATTTTGTCTTACTGTACTGGTAGCTTTTTTCCACTTGTTTTGAGAACTTCTTTATACTTAAATCGCATGGAATAAATCAGTGGGAAAAATCCATTTGTATATTAATCTGGGATATTAGAAACTATTTAAAAAAATCACACTTCAATTTTAAATAGTTTTCATCTGGAAATACAATGAATATATGATTATGCTATATACACACCTTGATCTGTCCCTTAGAGCATGGTTCGCTACAGACGGATCGGACCATCTCAGTGCGGTTCGTCATGAGTTTGTAATCACTGATGCTCAGAAGACCTTCATGCCACGACCCCACATTAATGTAATCATAGCGGCCCAGCTCCTCCACATACTGTAGATTCATAATATCATACCTTAGAGCATAGAAAAAGAGAGGGAGAGGGGGTAATGATATGGGTAATGAAACAAAAGAGAAAGAAAAAGAGCAAGTCTGCCATAATAAGTAGCTCGGCACTGCTGAAGCTTCGGGACTAGCAAGAGGCAGAGTTCACACTTTTACTATGTTCACACATCCAAGTCTCTCAACTTCGCATCCTCCACCTGGGATATGAATCCACAACCTCCCGAGTGCTCAGTCCACTCATCCATACTAATGACACTCCCTAGCTTACAGATGAGGCAAAGTGTCACAAGCGCACACATTGGAGTGGAGAGGACTGAAGCATCTCCTTGAGACAGGCAATCTGTTCCACTCCAAGTCCATTACCATCTGATACGCACCTTTTTGCATGTGTTGGCTAGGGTGCCAAATCTAACCTGAGGTGATGTGTGATCAATTGTTGCCGTAGAGAATAGGTATTCAAAATGGTCAGTGTCACACTGGCCATTCAGGTGTGAGTTGTCACTTTGACATTAAACTAGTTCTGTTTCAAAACCTAGTGAGCTGCCTTGGTAAACTGGTAGTTTCCTTCTAAGGCACCTTCCAAACACTCTGCCTCATTTAGAATGTGCTACATAGGCAGCAATTCCAAGGGCAATTGTGTGTGATGTTTAGGGTGACCATAGATTCTCTTTTTCCCGGACATCTTATGGATATGATTTCTAATTTGCCTAAAATGTCAGGACTTTGAATTTGTTTTCATACTTGCTGAGGGTAAGGACTGAAAAGTAGTGTGCAGGCATTGTACATAATTGACCAGTCTTGGTGTGGGATATACAGATAGCGGTCAGCAAAGCAAACACGTGTACACATATAAATTCTGAGGACTATAGAGAGCATGTTAGTAGGAAAGCAAAGTAAAAACCTGGACACAAATGGCCACCCTAGTAATGTTAGCATGTTGCTAAACTAACAGTGTAATAATCCAATCATAAAACTACACACAATAATTGGGGTTTACTCTGAACTATAACTAAACTAGTCTTAGCTGGTATCCCAACCTGTGGCAGGGTTTGTTTTACAGTGGTCTTGGGCACATTTCAAGTGGTCAGAGTGAAACACCAGACCGCCAGGCTAAATTTGGCCAGGCTTGGAGACCATCTTAAAACCATTACCAGCAAAGTAGGTAGGCTGGTTTAAATGTGTCTTTTATTTTTATTTATTTATTTATTTTTAATTTAATTAAAAAAAAAAAAATTCAGCAAGGGTGACTGGTTTGGAACAATCTACTTTGCAATGTAGCAACTCCACATGCAATAGTTTTTGATGTTAGCATGTTGCAAAAGTAAACAGCATGATACTTTAAGCATAAAATACACAGATTTTGGATAAAACTGTACATTTTTATTTACTCTATAGACTCTATATTGAATGAAATGAGGTTATTTATAATCAGTATATTTTCCACTTTTTTCTTTTTTTTTTTTAAACATTCTGGGATTTACTTCTCCACAAACGTCATATGTGAGGTTTCCTACGCTTCGGACCCTAAGCTATGATGCCTCTATAGGTAGCTTTCTAGGTTTTGAAATAGCACACTAGCACTAGCACATACAAAGTATTCTTATCATTTACCTTCCAGGCGAGTCTCCATTTACATCGAAGTAAATTTCCTCCCCAGACACGCCGGTAAAAGAGGTCTTGAGAATATTGTCCAGCAGCTTACTGCCATCAATGGGATCCATTGCCTCGCACAGGCCAACATGGTCTGGGCACAGCTCTTCATGCATGTCATGAAGACCATGAGCCATCGCATAAATCGCATTGATCACGAAACCCATCTTGCTATCCTGGACATAGTTGTCTTTCAAGCTCTCATTTCCTGTCAAGGAAAGATTTTAAACCAATGTGAGCAAGATTAAAGTGAGGACAGCAGTCGAATTTGTGCCACTCTGCCTCCATCCATCCAGGATTTGTGTTTTTTATATTTGTTTATCTATTGAATTTGTTGGAAATTTAGCAAATAAAAAATATGGATGCTAAATGAATTAAATTACCCCGAAAAACTAAGTACAGCCAGAGGCTCTGTGCTTTCAAAATATAAACCAATATATTAGCAAATTTCTGATTATTACAGAGTACTAAAGGCAGAATGTCACTTTCTCTTAATGTTATATATAATTTCATGCCCCTAATATTAAAATGAGATCACATTTAACACACTGAAGAGACTGAATAAAAGGAAGGAGAGTCCTGGCAAACTACATGCTTTCTTTGAATTTCATATCTTAGCACTGGACCACTGGACAAAAGCCATATTCATAAGCCAGCCGATGGAAAAGCCATTCCAGTGCTACATATACATTCAAGAATTTTTATATATATATATATATATATATATATATAATTAAATCATAGATTCACTAAATTAATTATCCTTTAAATGTAGTTCCTGGAACTGCACAAGCTGTGCACTGCAAAATAAATAAATAAATAAATAATTTTCTTAATCAGTACTTTTGTCTTGTTTTTTTTCAGTAAAAATTATTTAAAACATCCATCCTTAAAACAAAATAAATTCACATGAAAAGAAAAACTGCTAATTTTTAAAACCCTCATATTTTTTCTTGTTTTAAGCTTAAATTATCAAAGTTGAGTGAGATTTATGCATAAAACAAGAACAAACTTGCCAATGGGGTGATATTTTAATCATTTTAATTTTAAATTTAATTCATGCAGTTTTGCTTCTCACGTAATGTTGTTTTGATTTAAGCATGTACAGATATGTATGCAGGAAAAAAGAGAAAAATATTGATTCAGAAAATTATTTATGCAGTGACTAAATCAACCAGGTGAACTCTTCAATCTTACACACATGCAAACTGTGTGGGTACCTCGATACATTGTGATTGTGTCTTTTCTTTGCGCATTCACACAGTTTCACACACACTTATTTCTTCTTGTGCAAGTTTCTCTTGTGCTCTCAGTGCCATCAAGCCTACCCTTCAAGCAGCACAGAAAAGCTGGACTGATATCTTATTTTGGCAGCATAGTGTCTGACTTTGCTTGACTTTTAGGCTAAATTGAAGTCTTCTAGAGCTCTTCAAAATTTTATGATCAATATCAATCTGATGCCTTTCCAAGTGCATGGTCAGGATACAGCTATACAATATGAGACAAAGAACAGCCTTTGTAGCAAGCTTTGAGATAAATGTTCATAGAGTTCTACAGGATAAGTATATTTACAGAGGGTGATATATTTAAAGTAGGAATTTAACAAAATATCTTCATGGAACATGATCTTTACTTAATATCCTAATGATTTTTGGCATAAAAGAAAAACCAATAATTTTGACCCATACAATGTATTTTTGGCTATTGTTACAAATATAGCCGTGCGACTTATGACTGGTTTTGTGGTCCAGGGTCACATATACATCTACTTGTTCTCCTTTATTTTAATTAGAGCTAGTATTAAATGTTACAGATATCTTACATATTCATATTGATATCATTTGAACATCTTCTGGTTGCAGCATATTAGAATGACTTCTGAAGGATCACGTGACACTGAAGACTAGAACAATGGCTGCTGAAAATTCAGTTTTGTCATCACATTTTAAAATATATTAAAATAGAAAAAAAAGAACTTGTTCATAAGACTCAATTTTGTTTAAGAATCGAACATTACAGCTTGTGCTGTGTTTGTTGTTGCGTGCAGAAAACACTAAAGATCTAAAGATGTAATTAACTAACCTCACCAGATGATAAAACGGCATATGGATGAAGACAATGTTCGCCAATGGTGACTAGATGCTCTGCTTTTTTGGTCCTCCTCTCTTTTCTTTTCCTATCCTCCATTCTCTCATTACTCATTCAAATCCAGTATATTGTGCATGTGTGCTCTGGTTGACTGTTGCTCGATCCTCTCTAGAGGACTGAGTAAGACAGTGCAGGCTTAGGCTGAGGGCCATTAGAACTCATCCAGAAGCCTTTACTAATTCATGGCGCTCCAGTTAGCAGCAGCCTGGCTCTTGTGTTTCACAAGCACCATTGCTGCTGGGAGCCCCCATCACGCCTGCTCTCGCTCGCCCCACACCAGCTTTCATCTGCCTCTATTACTCTCTCTCTCCATCTCACATTCACATACACACATGACGAGCCTTTGTCATGGCCTCTCGACGTGTCCTTTTTCCCTCCTAAACACCCCAAATCAGTCCATTCATACCGCAAACCTTTCAATGGCAGCCTCTTTTAAATATTCTTTGAATTCACACGGGACCAAACTTGAAAACGTGCGTAGTGACATGAAGTAAACAGTGTAGAATCAACCTCTTAAACATTACAGTAGCACTGAGCACAAACAGATGTGCTTGAAGTCCTATGGGATGTGGTGTAATACAGTTCCAATGACAGGGCTGCTGGGATGCCTGCAGGCTTTCCTCGCTCTAATGTAGTTTCGCTGTAGCTGTTTGAACCTTAAAGACTTGAAAGTGACCTCAGAGCGCCTCTGAAGTGCAGCAAAAGACTGGCAGGTCAACACAAACAGATTTATATCTGCACCTTCCCAGAGTCTATAATGTTAAAGTCACTCTTTCTCAATCTCTGCTCACCCTCATGACTAATAAATCTTTGAATACATTTAAAATAGAGGGCTAATGAGAAAGAGATGTTTCCTGAGAATCAGCCTCCGCTTTACAAGAGTGGTTCTCTTACAAATTCGCAATATCCGCAGTTGATAACTTTTACAAGGAGGTCACAGGCAATCATGCAGTACTAAATGCACTGAAGAATGCTGAATCCAATTCTCCACATTACTTGAGGAGAAAATAACCTCAGAAGAAAAGCTATTTGGAGAGTTCAAGCGCACCTACGAGTAAATGACCCACTTAAATACAAACGTGGTAAAGAATTGTGCTAAAGTCATAAGGCAAGTTATGAAACAGATGTCCATTGAGTGATTTTTAAAATGTATTGAGAATTTTGTAACAAATAATAAAATACATGAAATGTAAAATGTGGGCATATAATTATGCCTCTTAGAAACATAATTTAAATCTTATATTTATACAAATAATTACTTCTCAGTTATCAGTTGTTTATCTTACAATACCATGGTAACAATGTTGACATTTTAAGATTGCCCTCTACTGACAGACAAAACATAAAATAACAACATAAAAAATACTTTTTGAAAGAATGATGCGTGTGTGTGTGTGTGTGTGTGTGTGTGTGTGTAGACACACCATCAACATATACATACATGCATGCATACACACACATACACACTGATAATAAGATAATGATAATAATATTTGATAATGTTTCTTGAACACCAAATCAATATATTAGAATGATTTCTGAAGGGTCATTTGACACCGAAGACTGGATTATAACTGAACACTTAATAATTATTGGATTGTAATGTAATATATGTAATAGATTGTAAAAATGTAAAATGTAATGGTTTAAGTGTATAATAATTGCATGAATATGATATAAAACAATTCTAAAACAATAATCATCACTAAAAGTGAAAACAACATTGTCTTAAAAAAACTATAACTAGTGAACTTTAATTTGGAGCAAGAGAAAAAGGGGGAGTGACTTTAATGTGCCAGAGGTGTGCCACTTTGCTCACAGCTGATTGGCCCAGAACATAACTTGCCCTGGTGATGAAAAGCCAAGCCACTAAAAACCCACGCTTGGTACAAACTAAACTGATGGTTTGATTGGTACCAAACCATGGTTTAGGCCCCTGGTGAATGGGACACACTGATAAGACTACTAATTTCCATCCATGATGAGACACATCTCAAAAACAATGACAAGATGACAGCTGATTATTGAAAAAAAAATCTGCAATATTCTCACAGGATGAGCAGAGCTGAGAGGCAGCATGATGCTAATTAAAGAGAGAGGGCTTCTCAGGGACGTTCAAGTTGCAAGGGGAAACTTAAAGAATGTACAGTTATAACACAAAAATGTGTATACTGTACTAATTTATATATCACCTACCAAGTGAAAGCATAAATAATTGTGAGAGTATACGTATATCCACCACCTATATTACCAACCACCTAGCAACTATCTAGCAACCACTTAAAACATTCATAAACTGCCCACATTAGTCTGTCACCGTGGTGTTGAGTTTGACTGAAGAAACAGTAATATTCTCTTTTCTGAATTTTCTTTTACTTTCTTCTTTATCTGAATGTGTAATGAGAGGCGAGAATGAGTTTTTGGAGGAAAGTGCAAAAGGATTATTGGGACTGGGAACACAGAAGGCACTAGGGGAGGAGAGTGCTGCCATTTAAACATTTAACTTGGATTCCTGTCAGTGCTTGAAACACAGCTGAAATACTGAGAAGCTGATGTTGTTTTTCTGTCCTGAGAGCAATAACATGTGACTATGAAAATATCTCTGGGGCACATGCTGTATGGGACTTTAAATAAGGGGTAAAAAAAATATAGCGGGAATGAACCATGATCATTAAGAGGCAGAGGCAAACACAGTGCCCAGTATAGCCTGACAACTTCTGAGGAATCCAATGTAATAAGCGTTCAAGTGAAGCTGCCCGGGAGACTGAGGATGTTGATTAGAAATTTAGAGTCAATGTTTTTTCTGCTGCTGTGGAAAATTACATAGCCTGGTTTTTGGTGAGACATGAGCTGGCTAAGGCCAAAGCAGAAGAGAAGAACACCTGGATCTCATCCTCTTTTTCACAGAAGAGCTCTCCAAACATACTCCCTCCCTTTCTCTCTCTTTTTCTTAATCACTCTCTCCTTCTCTCTCATTTTGTGTCTATCTCAGATACACATCATCAACTGTCTTGGCTTGAAGGCTTGGACTCAGATGATCATGACAATGCATGACGTGTTTTAATGAATAAA